AAAAAAAAAAAAGACTAGCCTGAGCAAAAGAAAGACCCTATCTCTACTAAAAATAGAAAAACTGAGGCAAGAGGATCCCTTGAGCCTAAGAGTTGGAGGTTGCTGTGAGCTACAATGCCATAGCACTCTACCCAGGGCCACAGCTGTAGACTGTCTCAAAAAAAAAAAAAGAGGAACTGACATTCCAAATTGAAGCAGACTCTAATGTCTGTCACCTTGGTTCCTGGATTCTGGCCCTCGAAATGGAATTCTCTAGCCAAAGCACCATAGAAGCAGCAAGCTTATCAAAGCTTGCTCAGGGTAATGTTAAGAAAATAAATATAAAAAAAATTACCTGTCAAAGTGTTTTATAACAAGGGAAATATCTAACAAGAATACTTTCTTAATATTTCTTTGCTAGGTTTCTACTTTTCAAGAAACTTATTTTTCTTCCTCTTACAAACTATGTTACATAGATACAAAAACCACAGAACGGTTTATTTTCACACCATCACTTATCCTTTGTATTTGGCTTTTTGTTTCTATTATTCTTAAAATGTTAAATGAAAAGATATTAATAAGAAAAAAATTTACCTATACTCTCATCATTCTAAAATTATTTCTCATTACTTCAGATTTCCTCAGTATTTTTCTATATTTATAATAATTTTTATAAGCTTATTTTTCAGTATATTCCTTCAAGTTAATATAGTATTACTTATTATTATTCTATGATTGGATATTTAGACTCTTTCCAATTTCTCACTACAATAAATAACGCTTTAGTGAACACTTTTATATCTACAGATTTTTTTAAAATTCTGAATTATTTCTTTCAAATAAGCTCCCAAGTGCAGAGTTAATGGATTTGGTGAATATCTGGGTGGATTCTTTATTCATTTATTTTTGCATTTGTAATACCTGGGATTTAATGCAAAACTTAAAAATAAATAAGAATACATGACCAGTGTTCGGACGGTGTTTAGCACAGTAAAGATTCATTAAATGTTACAGCTTTTTGCTTTTGTTATTATTCTTTAAAAATATTCCTAATCAATTTTGGATGTTGATAAGGGGGAGAAATAAAGTTTATTTAATGTTATAACAATAATTCTGACTTTTTTCTCTTACGCTAGTCTTAAAATTTTATCATAAGACTATAGGAACATTTTTTTTCACTATAGGAACAGATTCTTCCCCCAGTGTTTCCCACATATGTAACAATGTTCTGGGAATTCTGAGTTATAGTTAGACATGAGGTGGGAAGACATCTGGGATGCAATTAATGTGTTCTGTTTTAGAAAGCATTTTACATTAGAATAAAATAGTATCATTTCTATATAAAATATAAACTAAAACACCCCTTGAAATACTTTAGAAAGTGACATAAAGGATATGGTACAGTAGTTAAAACATGCTGCAGCATGTTAGCACTCACAAGGAGAATTTCCACTGAATTGTTTTTAAAAATAAAGGATTGTTCCCATGTTAAGTTTGTGTAACTTTACCTAACGTAAATTTAATTTTGTAAGACATTCTATCTTTTGAGAATCACATATTAACTATAAATTAATAAAAAAAAAAATCCACAAAAGATACACCAGAGCCATCCCTCAGGCTTACTGAGGCCAAAGAAATAAGAAACAGGTGTGATATTATCATCACAGACAAATAGGATTTCCAGGTAATCTGTAACTTTTTTGAGTTGGAATTTTAAGTAATAGTGAATGCTAAATTTAAAAGGCAAAAAAAAAAAAATGAGTATTTAACAGAAATCTCTTTTCAAATAAAATACCCTTGTAAAATTCCAATTAAGAAACTCAAACAACTTATTTCAGTCTAAATTTATACTTAACTTTATTTAAGATTTAATGTTATACTTAAATACCAAAGTTGTATTACATATCATATGGCAACTTCTTCTCAGTAATAACTATGATTCCAGCTGATGTGCATGGGGACCATGAGAGCAAGAGCTTAATGTTTGCTTACCTGGTAACTTATCTTCCATAATTCTATTTTTCCTTGTGACACACGTAGAAACCTTTATTACATATGCACTAGGCACAATCCAGGATACATTCATGAGCCTTTACCTTCTCTCAAGTTCAAAGACAAAGATTTATGATACCAGCTCCAAAATTATGAGTAATGCTTATGTAAAACAAAACATCAAATCTTATTCTTCTTCACTCTTTGAAAAAGGATTTTAACAAAAATCCTTAAACTATTCGTCACCATCACTTCCACCTGTGATCACTTATTAACGACTTAAAACACAGCAAAAGTTTATGGCTTATTCTTACTGCCTTCCCCAACGGTTGGTAAAATGTAGAAAAATAACAAATAAGATCACTAGTCTTAACATTCTAGAACAGGGACTGGTCAAACTTTTTCTGCAAAGGGCCAGATAACAAATATTTTAAGTTTTGTGGATCAAAAGGTAAAATTGAGAATACTATATAGGTGGTTATATAGAGAGGAAAAATTTTTATTTACAATATTCAAACTATAATAATAATAAATGAATACAGGATTTTTTTTTTTTGTAACATAGATCTAATAATGAGACAAACAGAATCTTTTTATTCAGGATAATATTTGGCTTAAGTGGGGTTCAAAATTATAGTGTTCCCTATCATCAAATTGCAAATATTTTCAGGAGGCCTACGGGACACCATGGGCCAATCCCTGCTCTGGAATATGGAGGCAAAAAGAATAATTTACAGTCTGTCATTGGAAAAATATTTCTCCTTTATTCATAAAACTCTAGTCTAAATCAATAAAGGCAGGTACTCTATATCAGAAGGATGAGATAATGAGAAGAACACCAAACTCTGAGTCAAGATAACTTAAGACTCTATGGCCATGCACTATGTGACAAATCACTTAATCTCACCCTTCTCCTATCCCTTGGTGCTTTCAGAATAATGCAAATACTATAGTTAAGTATTCTGAAAATAATTTGTTTCTTTTGCAGACTAGACTGTTGGGAGCTCCTCAAAGTAGGAACTGTCTCCTAATCTTATATTATCAGCTGGTGAAATGGTCCTTGGCACAGAAAAGATGAGTAGTGCTTAATGAAGTTCATTAATCTGTTAATACACTACCTAGAAAATTTTACTTTTTTTTTTGAGACAGAACCTCAAGTCATTCCCCTGGGTAGAGTGCCGTGGCATCACAGCTCATAGCAACCTCCAACTCCTGGGCTCAAGCGAGTCTCCTGCCTCTGCCTCCCAAGTAGCTGGGACCACTGGTGCCTGCCTGGCTATTTTTTGGTTGCAGCCATCCTTGTTGTTTGGCGGGCCCAGGCTGGATTTGAACCCGCCACGTTAGGTGTATGTGGCTGGTGCCTTAGCCACTTGAGCCACAGGCGCCAAGCTGAAAATTTCACTTTACTATCCAATAATCAACTCATTTACAAACTGCTTAATTAAATCATTAATTCCTAATTTGGACAGCCTGAAGAAAGACTGTCCGGAACCTATGCAAATTCAGCTATAATATAATTAAACAAATTAGGGATCATCACTTGATAATTTTAAATGATACTGTAAAAAGTCTTCAATATTACCTAAAAAATTTAGTTACAGTTATTAAAATAAAAAATGTTACAGACAATGGACTTAAGACTTAAACCAACATTTCTTGAAATGGAATCCAAACTTTTTTGCCACAAGCTCTATACGTAAAGACTTCCCTGGTCAAATAAATATGGACAAGGCTGTATACTGCAACAGAGTGTACATTAGTATATTAAAGGCGCTCTGAGAAGTCCTGTAGTATAACTTCTCTTTTAAACCAGGAGTTCCCAAATTTATCCCTGCTGGAATCCTTAATACCTACCATTCCACACACTAGTATTAGACTATTTTAGAGGATTATAAACATTTAAGTGCATCAGGTCTTCCTAACTATCTGATTTTAATAGTTTTAATTTTAATCTTACATCTAAGAAAAATTATGAATTTTAATTTTCTAAATGTTACTATTTATTGTATGTTTTCCCTTGAGAAATAGGCTAGCAGTCATGATATATCCCTCTTTTGATGACAGAATTATTCAAACATCCTCTGAGAGGAAGTCCTATTGCTAAACGAACAATTGTGCTTCTCTCCAGAGGCAGTTATAGGAAGTACAACTGATGAATGTCAACCATGAGAGGAACATCTTTTCTCAGGCCATACAATACCAGCAACTTGTTCACTAACAATAGATAACCTTAAGCAGGAATAGGGCTAACAGTTGGATTATCTTCCTTGCTGGATAATTAAGGTCAAGTGAAATAATGTTTGTAAAAGTGCTTTGTAACTCTAACCTCATTACAAACAATAACAAATAATAAAAAAGAATTTAATTTCAGAGGCCTAGCAATAACTAACTTTTAATCACTAATCATAACATTGTACTTAGTTTTTGCTTTTCACCAAGCACCATACTATCATGCTAGTGCTTTCACATTGGATAGCATTAATAAGCTCTTATTTCCTGTTAGTTCTCAGTTTATTACTGTCTCTGATGTGCTTATTCTAATATTATAAAAAACCTTCTGGTGACTTATGGAATGCTGTTGCACACAACTGAATTAAATTCAATTAAATATTTATTGGCATGATCTTTTTTCTTCATTTCTTACATGTATTTCAAATCCCATTCTAGAGTGAGTTTTAGGCCGGGTGTGGTAGCTCACTCCTATAATCCTAGCACTCCGGGAGGCCAAGGGGAGCAGATTGCTTCAGCTCAGGAGTTTGAGACTAGCCTGAGCAAGATCAAGACCCTGTCTCTAAAAATAGCTGGGTGCTGTATCGGAGGCCTGTAGTGCCAGCTACTTGGAAGCTGAGGCAAGATCACTTGAGCTCAAGAGTTTAAGGTTACTGTACGCTATGATGTCACTGCACTGTAAGGGGGGTGACAAAGTGAGACTGTCTCAAAAAAAAAAAGATAAACCAAAGGAAAGGAGGGTAAAGAAGAAACACAGAATATATAACTAGAGCAGTACCATCTGACAAAGTTTCTGCAATGATAGAAATATAACAGCCACTAACCACATCTGGCTGTAAAATACTTGAAGTGTGGCTAGTGTGATTGACGAACTGAATCTTTAATTTTTATTTTATTTAATTTTATTTATTTCATTTCATTTATTTAATTGTTTTTGAGATAGAGTCTCACTTTGTCACCTAGAGGGCTGTGGTGTCATAGCTCACAGCAACCATAAACTCGTGGGCTCAAGTGATCCTCCTCCCTCAGCCTCCTAAGCAGCTGGGACTATAGGTGCCTGCCACAATGCCCAGCTATATTTTAGAGATGGGGGTCTTGCTCTTGCTCAGGCTGATCAGGCAATCCAGTCGCCTCAGCCTCCCAGAGTGGTAGGATTACAGTCATGAGCCACTGTGTCTGGCCTTGAATCTTTAATTTTTTAAAAAACACCAATTTAATTCAAATACTCAAGTAATTACAGCATTAGACAGTGAAAATAAAAGTGACGTCATGGAAAGAAAGTATTTCAATATGTAAAGAATGATCAATAGTACCAAATATTATAGAGAGGCAAACAAGGAAGGACTAAAAAGTGTCTGTTGTATTTAATAAGTGTTATGGGTAGAATTGTATTCCTCTAATACTATACTTACACGTTGAAGTTTTAATGTCTAGTACTTTAGAAAGATTCTTAGGAAACAATTACTACAGATGTAATTAGTTAAGATTAAATTTTATGAAAGTAGGGTGAATCCTTTTTCCATTGTCTGCTATCCTCATAAAAAGGAGGAATTTGGTCACAGAAACATGCACACAGGGAGAACACCATGTGAACAGGAAGGCAAAAGTTAGGATGGTTTGTCTACTGGCCATGAAATACCAAAGACTGTCAGAAAATTGCCAGAAGCTAGGAGAAAACTCCTTTCTCTAAAGCCTTCAGAGGGAGCATGGCCTTGCTGATATTTAAATACTGGACCTCCAATCTCCAGGACTGTGAGACAATAAATTTTTTGTTGCTACAGCAGTTTGTGGTACTTTGTTAAACAACCCTAGCAAACCAATACAGCATAAAGAAAGTCTTTGATATATGTCAATTTGATACATTTTAAATCTTTAAAAAATATATACTCTTGTTTATTTAAATCTTAATTTAGTGCACAGGACATACAGCTGTAAAATTTTGTTTTTATACTACATTTTTAAGGGCAGTCATCTAATACTAATGATATTAATGTTAACTTGTATATCTGAACTACTGAAATATAAACAATGCATTACAAAACATGCATGGAGCACTTTGAAATACAAATGATTCCTAAGGGGTCCATGAGGTTTACATTTAGTTACCCAGCTCAAACATTCATATGATGGATTTAATATTTTATAAAACCAATTACCATCAAAAGAAGAACACTTACCTCTGGTTTCTAAATTTTTAAGTGTAGTCATTTTTTCCCCTAATGAAAATGCCTTCCAAGACTTCTACTGAAATACCTAGAAATGTATACACATAAAAGAATTAAAATAATATCACGAAAACATATTCACTGAGTGCTCCTAATTTAAGTGTTAGGGTATTTTAATTGCTTCTGCATTTAGTACACAAGCAATAAGGGAGGGAAGTGTCCCCTCATATCCTTTTCTCACAGGTGGTATTCCTATGCCTACCAATGTCTCAGAAAAAAAAGGGGGGTGGCTTACTTTTAAATATTCTTGTTTCACCATCCTCATCAATGCACTCTACATTGTCAAGAGGTATGTCCTGAATTTCAGTTCAGCAATGGCAATGAAGTTACTGTAGCATTTATAAGATAACAGGAATTTTAAAGTAACGACTCTCTTAAGAGACAGAGACATATTGACACAATTTGTTCACTATATATACCTCTATCTATCTATCTATTTGAGAGAGCTTCCTTTTAGATGTTCAACAAGTGACAAAAACATTACTCACGATAACTTGGTTTGTACTTTTTTGGTAGTGACATTAAAATGGTGTAACCTTTAACAGGAAAAAGAGAAGCAGACATTGGGCACATGAAACGTATGCACGGTCTTAAGCACGGACTCAGGAACGGTTAAGGAAGGTGATACTAATGTGAAGACATTAATACGATGAACTGTATACTACAGGACAAACTGGTTTCACCATTAAAAAAAAAAGAAAATAGCTCTAGGTACTCCATACGACAAAGCACAGCGTCTCCCACGACTAACTTCCTTTATCACAAATCCTCCATCACTTAGAGTCTCCTGCTCTGAAAACACGTATTCAAAAGACGATTCATAAAAGCCATAACCAGCTTCTCTCCTAAAGAAATGTCCAAGCCCGGGGAGCGTCTGCGGGCAGATCCCCTTGAAGAGGCAGGGGAGCCGGCGGAGGAGCGGCAAGCACATCGACCTCTGCGGTCCCTGCAACTGCAAACTGAAGTTCGTCTCCGTCTGAACCAGCCTATCTGGGACAACGATCTTTCCCTAACTCCACAGCTCGGGGCCGGCAAACTCCGACCTCGACGTCCGTCCTTCCCCCACGTCCCCTCTTCTCGGATTTACCTTTGAGATCTGTACTCTTCCTATTTCAGGGGCTTCACTTCACAGGCTCTTCTCCCGGTGTCACCGAGTTAACTTCGCACGTCCTCTTCCATTCCGAAGCGGCCCGCCCAAACCCTCCAGACATCAAGCGTCTCTTCACGCATAATCACTTCCGATTACTCAGGGTTTCGCTTCCGGAAAATTTTTCAAAAAAAAAAAAAAAAAGTAAACAGATTCTGCAGTTCGTTTAAACTCAATGACACAGAACACGCTTGAAGTGTAAGTCCTCAGGAAGTGAAAAGTGAGAAGATGCCTATTTTGAAATCAAATATTGTACAGAAATATATAAACCCAAGCTGAACAGTCGCTTACACTTCCGAGTCATCCGTCAACTAAACGGAAGTAAAAGTGCTGGAAGGAGGAAGGCGGTGTCGCGTCGCCCCAGGCAACAGCGTGAAGGGGCGGGTCTGTCAAGTGGATGGAAGGAGACGCCTTTACTCCCAACCAGTAGGGACGAAGGGGAGGGGCTGTGGCGTCTCCGCAGCGTTCGGCAGTGGGCGGGGCTCTGTTGCCAAAGTAACCGGATGATGGTGTTGGTGGTGCTGTCTTCCTGTCTCAACGTTACCCGTTTCCTTGTACCGAGATCCTGAAACTATGGTGAGTGCCAGAAGAGGCCAGAAGAACGGCTCTAGTGTCTTGGTTACGCAGCGTCCCAAGTCTCGGGGTGGGCACTCAGAGGGGTCCGGGTTCCTTCACCTTCCCCCATTATCTTTTCCTCTTTCCATGGGCCGTTCCCGTAATCTCCTGGTTCTGTTTCTTGCAGCACCCAGAATTTCACTTTGGGTGCTACTAAGCCTAGAATAATATAACAAAGTTTAAGGCTAAGACATTGAGCCTAATAATCTGAGACATTATTTCGGACAAACATGTTTGCATTGTTCATCATTGCATTTTTCAAGCTTGCAGCTTCACAGTAACCTACTTCATTAAGAAGATGGGGTGGTGCGTGTACGAGTATCTGACTGTCTCAACACTGGTTTGAATCTCTCTAGATCTTGGAGTCTTTGCTCTGGGTGGCGGAGCACTGTCCCACGCTCAGTTTAAGGGCCATTTAATAATGGGTGTATGTTGAATCAGTTCCCTTTTGACCAGTTGATTGCCTTCTAGGTCCGTGCTTTAAAAAAAAAAAATACAAACCAGAAATCAGGACTATCCTTCAACATCATGCAGAGAGCTTCTGGAATTGATTTGCTTGAATTTCACCCCCAGAAATTCAGAATGAATTGGAGTAGGGCTCGGAATTTGCATATTTAATAAGTGGACAGGTGATTCTAACTTACCCACATGTTTGGAAGTTCCTATTCATTTTAATTACCATATGTTTTAAGCACTTACAGGTAACAGTTTGGAAGATAGAAGAGTACTGTTCTCAGATGGGTATCGCTATAAATTTAGCAACAGAGCCTAATCACCTTCCTTGTTTCTCTATTACTCCTCAGCAATTGTTTTTGTTACTCTATCTTTCCCTTCCCATTTCCTGCAGAGGCCTTTTCAAACCTTCACTTTACAAACCCTGACCCTTTCCCTCTTCTTTCTTCTAAGTAAATGATGGAGTCTTTTTTTTTTTTATATTTTTTAGAGACAGAGTCTCACTTTATTGCCCTTGGTAGAGTGCTGTGGAGTCACAGCTCACAGCAACCTCCAACTCCTGGGCTTAGGCGATTCTCCTGCCTCAGCCTCCCAAGTAGCTGGGACTACAGGCGCCCACCACAACACCCGGCTATTTTTTGTTGCAGTTTGGCTGGGGCTGGGTTTGAACCCGCCACCCTCAGTATATGGGGCCGGCGCCCTACTCACTGAGCCACAGGCGCTGCTCAGATGATGGAGTCTTAACAGGCAATTTTTTTTAACCCTATACACAGCCTACACATTGATCCATATTTTAAACCTTCCTTTAGTCTTGTATTTCTAGTTTACAGAATAAGTTGTTGCAGGATCATCTTTGCTTTTGATCTTATCTGCTCCCATCTGTGTAGGACATGTTACTTTTAGTTATCTTTTTTTCTTTGCTGTGCTTTCAGCTTTTCCTTTCCATTTCTTCTCCTCAGTGCTCAAGTCATATATCTTACGAAAATTAGATAAAACAAAAGCACTATCTTATGTCTATCTAGTTATTGCTCAAGCCTACCATTTAGCTCCCAGACTGCTTGAAAGCATAGTATTTTTACTTATATCCAACAGGCAAAAGTTTATTGTCTGGCTTCCTTTTTAATGGTTTCAATGGAGTTGCTCTTGCTAAATTTCTAATGATCCTTTAAGTGCCAAATCCAGTAATTACTTCTCAAAATTTATTTTACTTAGCCTCACTGTGACAACTGAAGATCATGGTCATTCATTCCCTTTCTTTTTTACTGGCTTTGCCTGCTTTTTAATGCTATTCTCTGTGATTCACTCCTTAATTTCTTTTCTTTCTTTCTTTCTTTTTTTGAGACAGAGTCTCACTATGTTGCCCTCGGTGGAGTGCTGTGGTGTCACAGCTTACAGCAACTCCAAACTCTAGGGCTTAAGTGATTCTCTTGCCCCAGCCTCCCAAGTACTTGGGACTATGGGCGCCTGCCACACGTCCAGCTATTTTTTTTGTTGCAGTTGTCATTGTTGTTTAGCTGGCCAAGGCCAGGTTTGAACCCTCCAGCCTTGGTGCATGTGTCCAGTGTGGTAACCACTATGCTATGGTTGCCGAGCCACACTCCTTAATTTCTATCATTTTTTTAGCCTATACATTTTTCACGGGTGATTTTGTCTGCACACATGGCTTGGACGTTAATACCTTTGATTTTATTCCCAAATTTCAATTTTCACCTCAGACATGAGCTAAGGCCTAACCCAGTTGCTTCCTGGACATTTAACTCAGGATGACCAAAACTGAACTTGCTATCTTTCCTCCCGGTTTCTCCTGTTTTCACCAAATTAATTAATGATACTGCTGTACAACTTAAACTATATTATAAACTAAACTCAAAATCAGAGTTAATCTAAATTCTTCTCTCTCATATCTACCTCCCATATTCAGTTTGGTCACTAGATCCTGCTTTAGTTTGCATTGCCTCATTTCTTGCCTAAACTATTGTAATACTAGTTCTTGTATAGTCTGGTCTGGCAGTTTTTCCATTCATTATTTTCTCTGCCCCAAGAAAGAATTTTAAAAAACCTACCCTGTTGTTGTTACTTACCTTTTAAAAACTAGACCCTCCATTCCCCGCAGTAAAGTGTCAGGAATGGCCTGTGAGGCTCCCCCTGGTGGAGCATTTACAATCTTGTTTCCCTCTTGCTTTTTAGCCTCAGGCCTTTTAGCTGCTTGCCTTTCACGGACCATATGGAACCACTTAACACAAGTTGTGTGCCTCTCCTCTCTACTTTGCACACGCTGTTCCTTGTACATGGAATACACCCTTGTTTTCTAGTCAAACTCTTACTGAGCCTTCCAGATCCAGCCTGGGCATTGTTTTCTTCTGTAATATTTCCCTTCTCTACTCAAAAAAAGGATGGACTCTTTATTCTTTTTGTCACCATGTTATATACACATCCCTCTTGTATGGAACAACATTCAGTTGAAATTACGTGTTTATAAATTTTTTGCTGTTAGTAAGCTGTTTATTTTGTTCATTGCTATTGCTTAGAGCAGTGGTTCTCAACCTTCCTCATGCCTACAATCACGCTTAATGTTACAAAGGAGTTATGACCCAAGGTTGAGAACCGCTGGCTTAGAGCTATTAAGCACTCATATGTTTGCCAAATGAATTAAAAAAATAAGAAAATGTAGTACCTGGTCTTAGTGGATACAAAGTACTTGGGGACGTTGGAGGATTGAGGCCTTAGTTCTCAATCAGTGAATCAGAAAAGCTGTCCTGAAGCAAATGAAATAGAATTTCAATAGTTCAAATTTAGTCAGCTGTGCAATGGCATGGGAGGTGGACAGTGATACTTGCTAAACACTTGTGTGTGTACATATGTATATGTGTGTGCTTGCATGCACCTGCCTGACATTCTGCTATTCAGACTTCCCCAGGAATGCTAAGAGCAGTGTACTACTGTGACTGGGTCCGTTGCAGGTGGTGGCTCTTTTAAATTAGGTGCTCCATGAAGGCCCCTCTGGGGAAGAAACTTTTATATTAAAACCTGAAGGACGGGCAGTGCCTGTGGTTCAGTGAGTAGGGCACTAGCCCCATATACTGAGGGTGGCAGGTTCAAACCCGGCCCTGGCCAAACTGCAACAACAACAACAAAAAACCCAAAATGATACAAAGTACAGTGATCTGGAGGAAGTGCTCCAGGTACACTGACACCACGACCAAAGGCCCTGAGGCAGAGAAGAGATGGGCATATTTCAAGAACTTCTGGTTCAATGTAATTAAAAAAAAACAGAAACTGAGTTGCGATTTGGGAAATATGGTTGAGAATGTAGCATGAGCTGTGGTTAGAGAGGTAGGCAGAGACCAGACCAAAGGTATATACACAGTAGTGTTTCTCAAACTGTAGGTTGTGGCACAGTACTAGGTCATGAAATTAATCTGTGGTATGTAGCCAGGAGGAAAAAAGAAGACTTAAAATACCGACTTAACATAATCGTTGCATGTAGTAAGGGTGACTTTCATGAACTTTTGTTTTAAGTTGTATATGTATTGTCTGTGTATTGGGTTCGCCTACAAAATTCATGTCTTACCATGAGTCATGAGCCACAAAGTTCAACAAAAGGCAAAATAGTTCAAATATCAAGCAAGGCATTTTTGACCTAGTGACAATGTCTTTATTGTGTGGCAGGAAAAGCTAGGATTTAACAAAAGCCTGAAATTGGCTAGAGTAAAATTTTCAAGTTTCTTTCTGCATCCAGGTCTCTCTCCTTTGTTTCCTGTCAGTCCTTTATCTTAAGGAGTGGGCCTGCAGAAAGAAATGGATGCTGCTTCTCTGTGTTCAGTTTAGTCATTGGCTAAAATATTGTAGCAGAGGACGATGTCCTCTGTCTACAAGCAGCTGAGGGTGGAGGTTCTGCAGATGTGGTTTCCTGACACTGCAGTTTGATTGTCTGCTCAGCTTCTGTTTGCATCTAATTTATAACAGTTGTGGCTCTCAGCTCCAGTGTTAAGTTCTGGTCACAAATTCTAGAACTACCTTTATTGTAAAGCAGAGACAAGCAATTGTAGTTTAGAATACCTGTCAACATATGTTGTTTATAACAAAGAATGTCCTGGAGTCAATTTATTTATCACTTTTATGTATAAAGAGAATAAAGAAGGTAATTCTAAGACCCATTTGACTAACAGAGATATGAATGTCATATATCTTCTAAAATATAGCATTTATTTGAATATTGTTACACAAGACAACCTCTTAGTGGAAAAGGACTTTATAGATTATCAGCTGTGTTCCACAAACCTTTGAAATACAAACGTCTTAAAGTTGTTTTAACAGCATATTCAGTTTAATGATTGCTAAAAAAATAAGATTTTATTGCATGACGTGTTTTTCGCTTTCCAACTTTATTTATAAAGTTTCTTTAGCACCTGCTTTTTATTCTTCCAGAATTCCTTTTGTTACTTGAATAGCTAATTTGGAAAAGTTTCGGTTCTAAAGTTCTGCAGGATTTCATTTTCTGCAGGATT